TCGGAGCGTGAGCTCGGCGGCAATCGGTCGCCCGTGGTCGAGCGCGTCGAGTGGTACGACAGCGAGACCGAGAAACTCGCGCGACGCCGCACGTGCCCGGTGCACCGGGGCATCAAAGTCCCACACGGTGAGCACGAGCGACCGTTCGTCGTCGACGTCGTCGTGGAGACTTGTGTCGTTCTCGACCAAATTGATGGCAAGTGCCTTCGTAACGCGGTCCAAGTCAATGTCCCCCGGTAGTCATCGCCGTCCTCGTCCGCGTCCTCGTCCTCGTCTGTGTTGGTTTTCGACAGCCGCTCTCGCGGAGGATCGACTTCGTGCTGCAGCCAGGCGTACGGTATGTGGAAGAGCTCGTTCCAGATCGGCGTCAGCGTCGAGGGCTGCACAGATGTCCGTCGCGATCGAGGGCGCGGCCCGTTGCCGTTGGTCGTAACGTCGAGCGTCACGAACGGGTCGCTCGTCACGCGATCTGCCGCGCGGAGATCTTCGGCGTACTCGATCATGACCTTGATGCAGTTGAGCGGCACTTTGGTGGCCCGAATGCGCCGCGCCTCGGCCCTTGTTTTCTGAGCCGCCACCATGTACAAGACCACGCGTACCTACAGTTTCAGTCTATCAACTTGATACTACAATATTAAAACAGACCACGAGGATCGCGCGACGCAAGAGACGGCGGACGCGGGCGCGGAGGCGGCGAAGTCGAAACAAGTCTTGAATGAGCAACACACTAGCTCACTTGTTGTCGGCCACGCACGTGAAGACAATCTTGTCGAGTGGCATACCTGTACACGGTGTGCTCGTCCGCGACCATGACGTAGGCGGACGGTCGTTTAAACGTTTGGAGCGCGTGGACGGCGCTGACATAGAACATGCGTCCGTGCGTCTCATCAAAGATTGCGCTCCATTGATCCGGGTCGTCGGCGGCAAGCGCAAGCATGTCACGGCGAAGACACGATAGGCGTCTTTTCATCGCCGGCGAATACAGCACCATGCGCTAGACAACCACGGAGTAGGACGAGCTCCACGGCAGGCGCTTGTACCTGCATACGAGCCTTCGCAGGCGGATTGGCTTCGAACCCGAGCGGTGCCTCGGCGAGGCACTCGCCCGTCGCCTTGTCGACGTAGCAGTCGCCGTCGCTGTAGCTCATATGGACATACTCGTGGCTGATCGGGTGCTCTTGGGCCGTGTGTAGTTGCTTGAGAAAAGGCGAGTCGGGGGCGAGACACTGCGTCATGAGCGCAATCGTGCTGTCTTCAAGGGCGCCGTCGCGTTTGGGCAGCACCAAGAGCGCCGTGTGCGCCTTCTGAAGCCACTCGAGCGCAGACGCATTCGCATTGCAGTCCATCTCGCAGCGCGCGAGCGCCAGCATGAACCGGATCGTCTTGAGAGAATACGGCGGCGTGTGGCGGCGAAGCGCCTGGAGAAGGAATGGCCGCGCGAGGAAGCTATCGCCATTCGTCCCAAACCGAGCCGCAAAGCGCTCCCACACAAACGGCAAATTCAAAAAGTCGGGCAGCGAGAACGGCAACAGGCGCGCTTCGTCGGCCTCGGTCGTCCGCGTCGGTGCAAGTGTCGTGATTTGAAACCCGAGGACGAGCGTCGGATACAGATTCGGACGTCGCAGCGCCACAGACGCAGGTACGCGCAGCGTCATGGCCGTCGGCGGCAAGCCGCCGTCGTCCAAAAGCGATTCGATCGGAATGGCGACGAGGCCGAGGCAGGTATCGCGCCCCATGTGGCGGTTCAGCACGCGCACCAGCGCTGTCGCGTGGCGCGACTGCACACGAAGGCGCACTTGCTGGTGCTCCCAGTTGGGCTCGAGGCTCTCCCAGCTCGGACCCTCTTCGGTCACGGCTTGCGACCCCTCGCACTTGACGACCACGCGCAAGTGAGCGTGCATGATGGACGCGATGGGCAGGTGCAAACTCTCGCCCACCGTGACGATGAGACTTTGGAGGTGGTTGCCGCGGTACTCGGCGGTAGCCCGCAGGCGCTGCTCGTCTAGAAGCGACCGCTTGACGCGCTCAATGAGGCGGCCGTGCAATGGGGCGTAGTCGACATGCGCGCCGTCTTCTTGCGCAAGCTCCCGTAGCATACCTCGGAGAAACTGAGCTTCTTCCTTGGATACGTGGTACGAGAGACGGGACGGCCACAGCAGAGGCGGCGGTCGCTGACCCACTTTCGTGCTAAGGACTTCGACATGATTGATGGCCTCGATGGCCAAGTCCATGCGGCGGACGTGCTGGTAGAGAAAGGCCAGTCGGAGCTGCGTCATTTGCATCATGTGCAGATGCATCGGATTCGGGGGAAGCGTGCGCAGCCGCTGCACGACGAGTCGCAGCTGGTCGATCGCGGCAGGTAGACGCCGCACGCGGTAGACGACCTCAGCGACCTCCAAGAGGTGCGCAAGAGGCAGTGCCACGGCGGTCATCTCTGTTGCTTTGAGTTTCACTTTGGCTTTTGGTTTGGATTTGAGTTTTTTCGACGGCACCGATGGACCAAAGGTGCGGACACGAGGCAGTGACATGACAGGGGGTGCCGTACGAAGCGCCTCTTGGAGGCGGTCGGCGGCCCGGATCGCGAGCTCCAAGTGCATGGCGTCAAAAGGCCCGATCGCGTAGGCGCGGACATGGGCGCGCAAGAGTCGCCGCAAGAAGGTTGGTGTCGCACTCGGCCCAAACCACTCGCGGTCCAATGCCTCAAGGAGGAGCACTTCGCGGCCCGGATCGCCGCGCGATTTCACCGCATATGTATCATAGTTTAGCGCATAGCCCATGAACCGGTCAAGCTTCTGGAGCCTCTTGAGTGCTGGCTCAAAGACGACACTGGTCCGCGAGACGTACGATCGGCGAATGCACTCGTGGCGCGGGTCCAGATGCACGGCTTGTTGCACGTACACGAGGCTGTCCATCTTGCGCATAAGGCCGCGGGCTGCCTTGGCCAAGAGGAGATACGCTTCTGCTGTTTCGGCTTCGTCGCGCAGCACCGCGCTCGCCTTGCGTGCCGGGGGTGCCATCCTGTTTTGGCCACCGCCTTGGGTGTCCCAGGGCCACGTGTCGACGGTAGCTCGGGGCGCGGGCCGCCACAAACGCAGACAACACGTATGCCGACTGGAGGTCCCACGTGTGCGCGACCTCCAGCCACGGATGGTTTGACGCCACCCACTCAATGCTAGACAGGAAGAAGGGGCCGAAAACAGGGTGGGGGCCCGCCTTGCGCAGCCCCTTGGTCACGTCAATGCCGGCCGCGGTCGGTAGCTGCTGGAGAAAGCCAGTGAGGCTTGCGCTTGTCGCCACCGACACTTGCGCGTGGCTGTAAGCGCTCTCGAAGAACTGGATCTTCATGCTCGTAAACGTCTCGTCATGCCACTTGACTTTAACGTAGAGGTAGCGCGATGCTGGCTTCTTGCGGTGCACGAGAAAAGTGCCCGGCGGCGTCGCCTGCAACGTTCCTTGAGCTTTATACGAGACCAAAATGGTGCACGTACATGAAGAAGCGCCTCGGCGGCGGCGTCCGAGAGCACACCATGGTAGACGCTACGCGCATATGAATCATCCCAGCGTTGAAGCCTGAAATGTACCCGAGTCCTGGGCGGAGCTCGGTGATGGCAAAGCAAGTTGCGAGCTCAGACGCTGCCTTTGCCGGCCACGGATTGACGAGTGGTGCTACGATCGGGGGCGCCAAGCTTGTGCGGGGCGTTGCGTTCGTCTCGGTCGCGAGACGGTCTTCATTCACTATTGGAGAGGACAGGCGAGTCGTTCCCGGAGACGTTGCGCTGTCGACTTTGGTCATTTCGGTTGCATCATTTGCAGTTTTGGGTGCTTCGACGCTGTCGATGTCTTCAGCCAGCGTCGGCGCAGACGTGACCTCTACACCGGCGGCGGCCACCGTGGGCGAATCAGGTGGTGCAACAGCAGCATCGTCTGTGCAGGGCGTCTTCTCGCGTGCTTTCTCAGCCACCTTTTTCCTCTCGGCTTCTTCCATCCGCATTTCAACGGCGCGTGCGTCGGCGAGGAGGCCGTACACTTGAGACAAAGTGAACCGGAGACTGAGCTCCGGGCAGGTTGTCAACGGCAGCATGGCAAGCGCCGTCTCCAAGTACATCGCACAGGCCTCGAGCGACTTGGCCTCGAGCGCCACCATGGCACACACAAAAAGCACGCTCGCGCGCCAGTCTTTGTCGAGTGTCGCTGGCGCCCGCTGAAGGCAGTCAACGCCGAGCGCGGTCGCTATTTCAAACTCGCGGCGGAAGAACCTCGCTTGCACGTGCATGCAGTAGCAGCACCAATTCAAGGGATCTGTCTCCTTCTCGGACGGTACAAGCTGCTCGAACGCAAGGATCGCGCGGTCTAAGTTGAACGGGTCGCCCGTTGCTTCGTAGACATAGTAGTGTGACGTCGCCCACTCCATGTAGAAGCGCGGCGATCCGGGGTGCCCGCTCAAGAAGCACTGCTCGAACACGAGCGCTGCGTCAAAGTAGTGCTGCATCGCGTACAAGCGATGGCCACGGTCGGGGTCTTGGGGCCACCGCGCGACGGCATTTTGCAGTGCAATCTGTCGGAACGCGCTCCGGGCCGCCCGACCCCGTTGCACTACATTGCACGTCCGAGAAGGATCGCGTGTTTTGCATGTCTACCTCGCTGGATACGGGCGGCGGCGGCATGAAGAATCTTCTGTGCTGTCGACGCCAATGCGACCGGTAATAGCCCCGCGACAAAGAGACGACTCGTGCGGTTGAAGAGCAAGCGAGCGGCACAGCGACGGGCCGCGGCGCACCGCCACGCGCACTGCACGCGACGGGCTGCAACATAGCGCCGCCGACGCCGCGCTTCAAGGCGGGCTGCGCATTGACGCCACGCGCACTGGAGACATGTTGCGGCTATATGCCTTGCGCGCACGCGTCGCTGGAACGCCGCTCTATCCACAGCAGCATTTGTCCTCGTCGAAAGCAGCTCGATGAACGCACCGGTCGCGCGCCCAGCGGCTGCGCTGTGCGCACTGCAGGACGACGACCGCCATCCGTGTCAGTTGGCGCCACAGCACATAGAGCACGTGCGTTGTCGCGTCGACTGCAAACGTGACGAAGCGCGTGAGCTGGACGGGGCGCCGGAGAAACTGGCCGCGGCGGCGGCCCGCATGGAAGTGCAGTTGCCATTGCAGCAACCACACGGGCAGCACGTAGTAGGCCGAGAGGTGCGCAAACGGAGCTACGACCACGCGACCGCAGAGACGTGGGTTGGCTTGCAGCGCCTGGAGCTGGCGCAGGAGCGACGGGCGGTGCCGCTGGACCCACGTCGCGCGTGCCGTCTGCAACGCCAAGAGCGCGTGAACGCGGACGCGCTTGGCGTCGACAGCAACGCGCGTGCGCCAGACGGACTGAATCGCGATCGCCGCCGACCCGCGCACGGCAGCACGCGCGGCGATCGCGTCGGGGGGGCGCGTCGCCCGCGTCTGCCACCTACGCGACGCGTCGAGAGGACGCAGACGATATGCACGCACGCACCGCTCGATGCTGCGCTGCACAAAACCAGCGTCGTGCATGGCCTGCGTGTGCGCGCGGACGAGCAACGGGTACGTGAGCAGGTTGTGGTAGACAGGTAGTGGGTCGAGCTGCACGGCAATGGACGTTCCAATCTCGTCATCGTCGTCGCTGTCCGGTGTCGCTTCGTCCAGGCACGGCTGGTTGTTGGACGCGACAGGTGGCAGCCTCGCGCGGGGGCGCTTCGATGGCGACGGCCGCCGCCGCCGATGCACGGCCACGTCCATGTGTGCCAGCGCCGGGCAAAAGCTTGCGAAACGGTAATCGAACAACAATAAGACCAATAAGTCGACATCAGAAAGGACGGCAAAGAACGCGAGCGTCCATTCCAGGTCCGCTACGCTCTCGTGTTGTCGGTCGTTTATCGGGAGCTGTTGAGCTTGCGGATGATAAACTGACTCGAGTCCAGATAGGACGCGACGACGTTGTGGATGCACGAGATCTCGGAGCTCGCGAGCTGCGTGTCGGGCTTGGACGCGCTGCACTTGTCCCACGCGATGGCCGTCATGCTCGCAATGGCCTGCTGGACGAGCACCTTGCGCTGCTCCTCCATGACAATGTCGTTGATGCTCGTGCCGCTGGACATGGGCGCAAAGTTGGTCGGCGCCGACTCTTCGTGCATGAAGGACGACGACTCCTCGGCGAAGTGGGTCTCTTCCGCGGGCGCAGCGCTCTTGCCTCGGCCAAACCAGCTCATCTTCCAAACGCTTCGTCGATGTTGAAAATGGATGGTGACGTCCCAAGGCCACCTTCCGGTTAAACACTTTTACGCAATCACGTCGAACGTTCAACCGACATGAAAAATACCGCGTCATGGTCCGCACCGCGCCGCTGCCCGCGCAGCCCGCGCGATGCATGTCATGCATCCGTCAACGATGGGCGCGACTTGCCACTCTCAAGAGGTGCCACAGAGCGCGTTGACGTGTTGTTTCGGATGCGTTAAAAGGCCCTCTCAAACTAAAACGTGTTTTAACCCTTCATCCTAATGTGGCATTCATGGCAATATGTCAAAAAGAAGACGATTTCGACGAAAAAGGGTCTAATTATCCGGATAATTGCCGGATCCCGCCCCAAATTGGCGGATTCGCGGCTGGTCAAGAGCGACGAACGATGCAGACGACGCGCGTCCTTTGCTCCGCCATGCGCCACGTGGCGCCTCTTGGGCGGTCCATGGCGCCGATGCACAGGCGAGCGCTCTCTCTCTCCGTGCAGGCAAGCGAGGCCCCAGCGCTGCACCAGCTGCAAGGCGAAGCGGCTGCCTTTGCGGCTGTCGAGCCGCCGTCGGTCAAGGCCTACTGCAAGATTTGGCGCGATGCGGACGCGGTGGCGTCGGCCGAGATCGCGCGTCTCTTCCGCGCGCAGCGCTACGAGGATGTCATCTTGGCGTACGTGGAGATGCACCCGCGCAAGCTCTGCCTCGACAACGCGGGTCTCAGTGCGCTGCTCGGCGCCCTCAACCGCCTTGGACGCTATGAGGAAGCCGCCTTGTACTTTCGCGCGCTCAAGCGAGAGTACAAGACAGAGCTTTGGTGCGAAGATCGGCGGGACATTGTGCTCGAAGGTCTGTACGCATACACGATGCTCAAGCGCGGGCACAAGGCGCTCAACGTGCTGCAGCACTGCGTGGGCCGCGTGCACCTCGACGCTCATCACTACCGGAATGCGCTTGCGTGCAATGCAACGCCGCCCCAAGGCAAACATCCGTGGTTTCTGGCGCCGACCATCGAGGCCGCGATTGCGTCGGCCAAGCTCATGACCGACCACGGCTACCTCGTGCCACCGGCGCTCTGGTCGCAGCTCATCGAGAGCTGCTTGATCCACAACCGCCTCGACGACGCGTCCGACCTTTTGATGACGTATGCTAACGCGTCGCTGATCTTGCCGCCGTCGACGCTGCTGCCCACGCTGCTGCTGCCATTGCGCTTCCACGCACCGAGCATCGCCGCCAAAGCGGCTCTCGCGTACATCGCGCACCCGTCGTTGGCGACCGCGCTCCCGTCTCTCTTCGAGTCGGTGCTTGCCCCGCTGCTTCAGAAACCCGAGACGTCGTTCGTCGATGTCGAGCCGCTCGTGCGGGCGATGCAGGCGCACGACATCCGCATGCGCCCCGCACTCTTGCAGCCGCTCTACGTGCCCTTCCTCGTACGCTCGCTGCCCGCAGATGCACTCTTGGCCCACGTGGCGAGCGTCCCCAACGTCCTCCGTGTCTCGGACCTCGTGTTCGGCGCGGCGTTCCACTTGTACGCCCGGCAAAGAGACGCTGCATCGTGCGCACGCTTGATCGAGTTTGCGATCGAGCACGACATGGAGCTCACGTGGAAGGCGGTCGAGACGATGCTCAAGCTGCACCTCGATGCGCGGTCGCTCGACGCGGCGTACGAGCTCGCGCAGCTCGCCTTTGCCGGCAAGTCGGCGACGGACGTGGCCGATGCACCGCGCTCGGTCTTCCGCATGGTGGTCGAAACTGCGATTTCGCTTGGGCACTACGAAGACGCGGTGGTGTTTTGCGACAAGTACGTGCCCGCGACCGGCGACGAGTTTAGCGCGACGATGCGCCTCGTGCGCGATGTGGCCATGCGCCTCGTCGAGAGCGAGGGGAAGAAGACAAACTAGATAAGAAGAGAAGATAAAGCGTGTGCGTAGTATCAGCGTCGACATACTCGAGTACGTCTATTACGACTGCAAAGTGTAGAGGTACAACGGCACGTTGGCGTACTGACCGACGTCGACGCGCGCGGCCGGCGTCATGCCCGGAATGCCCCACGTGTTGCTCACGATACGACACCCGCGGGTTAAGGCGGCTTCGAGCTTGGGCGCCAGCAACGTGAGCGCTTCCGGCAACAAGTACGTCACGATGACGGTCGCCTCGGAGAGGTCGGCGTCCATGAGGTCCGCGTGCAGCATGCGCACCTTGTCCTGCAGCTTGTACTTGGCGATCGACTGCTCAAACTTGGCGATGAGCGGCGCCTCGATTTCAATACCGACAGCGCGGCAGCCGTGCTGCCGGGCCGCACCAATGCAGATGCGGCCGTCGCCGCAGCCCAAGTCAAAGACAACCTATGATGTACTCCGTGATCATCATCTCACACGCGAAAGGCGTACGTCGGTGGGCTGGACATTGGCAAAGTCGATGATGGCCTGGACAATGTCATAGTCCGACTGGCACGGCGGCGCGAGCGAGTCGCCCTCGAGCCACATGAACGGCTGCTCGTTCTCGTAACCTTCGTCGTCGTCGCTCCAGTGCATGGCCATCTCGATGCTGCTGATGCGGCTGATGATGATGATGATGACGCCCGCCTCCACCAATCACGGGGCGCATCCGTATACGCTGCAAATATCCGGATATCGGTGCAACGCGGCCTGTCTATCAAGCATGCAGCGCACATAGAGCCACGACGTCTCCGCGTAATACACTCTGCATCAATTGGCTGCATCCATGGGCTGCAGCACTGACATGTCGAGCGTGCTGGAAACGAAAAGGTTCGTCAAGTGGGTGGTCTTTGTACCCTGCTGACAGAGACGGGCAAATTGGACTGTACGTTCTTCGCGCCATCTTTATTTCGCGGAGTCGTATATTCCCAGGAGCTACCCAGGAGAACGTGTCGTACAGAGGCGGTGGGTCACGATGCTTGTCGACAGGTTTACCAGACGTTGCATTTCTCGCGCGGATGGAGCGGCGCGCCCGACGGGCACGTAAACACACGCGCAAACGCCTCGTTGTTCATGACGGCGCCATTCACACGCTGCTTGGCCGGCGGGTGCACGTCGTCCAGCGAGCTCTACTTGGTGCATAAAGGCAGCGATTTCAGAGCGTCGAGCGTACCCGCAGCGCTTGGTCGGTCGCTTTGATGCACCAGCTCTGCGCAAACGAGAGAAAGAAAAGCTTCTCCCGCGCTTTGGAATGGATCTAGAAGTACATTCCACGCGTGAATATCGGATCGGAGGATACGGAGACGCAATCTGTACCGCTGCCGTGTACGCGTCAAAGGCGACGCGGAGGCCACCGATGTCAGCAATGGCTTCGCCGAGCGTCAAGCGGCCGTTCACATGTCCAAGGAGCTCGCCCGACGACTCGTTGCGGACAGCCATCGACGTATACTGCGTGGCGATGCACGCCGTCTTGGCCTCGAAGCGCCGGGCGGTCGCGTCCGACCACCACGGCTGCATGTTGCCGACTGCATCAAAGTTGCGCCCTTGGTCGTCAAAGCCGTGCGTGATTTCGTGCCTACCGAACGCTACGTTCTTATCGAGGCAAGCGCCGCATAGAGTACCCAATGACCATGCCAATCGCGCCATAGTTGCGTGCGAGGTCCTCGTGCGCGTCAAAGAAGGGCGGCTGGAGAATCCCCGCCGGAAACACAATCTGGTTGGCCAGCGGGTTGTAGTACGCGTTCACCTCGTGCGCGTGCATGAGCCACTCGTTCTTCTCAACCGGTACACGGAGCTTGGCGACAGCACGGGCGTGCAGGAGGTGCGTCAGTTGCTGGACGTTGCCAAAGTAATTTGTTGGCGTCAGCGCCAGCCCCGTGTACGCGAGCTTCCGCGACGGGTAGCTACACAAGGGTCAACTCGCGTCGAAGCGCAAGACGGACGTACCCCAGAAGCGACGACATGGCGCGAAGCTTGGCGATCGCTGCAGCTTTTGTCCCCGCGTCCATCCATGCAGCCGCCGCGAGCCGTCCGTGGAACGTCTCGACGAGCGACGCGACCAGCGCTTGAATCGCGGCCAGCGCTTGTGGCTGAAAGGTCTTTTGCAGATAGTAGCTACAGAACGTGGTATGTTGAGCCAGCACGAGAAACGGCTTGTCGTTGCTACCGGCTCAGCAACTCGCCGAGATACTCGTTGACGCTCGAGAGACACTGCTTCTCGCGCGGTCGTGGGTGCTCCTGGCCTGCAATCGCGCGACCATAGAGCGCAAACGACGTGTTGCGGAAGGCCGACGACAGCACCGGCGCCATGCTCGCCGTGTACTGGTACACAAACAGTGTTTGGAGCGACTGCAGTGGCGTCGTCGCCAGCAGTGTCTCGGTGTAGTTGAGAAACGACGGCGTCGCGACAATGACGGGCGACGTCGGCGTCAGCGGCAGCTTGGCGCCGGCAAAGAACGCTCCGAGCACCAGCGGGTAGCTCGCATTGATGTCCCGCACAACATTGTACGTACGAAGCGGGTCGCGCAGCGCGGTTGTGGCCACGCTCGCGCGTGCGAGGTTCACCTCGAGCGCCACAATAATCTCGACAGCCTCGGTAACGTTGGGATACGCAATGTGCGTCAGAAGTTCGCGCACATACGTGCGGAGCGCGGGCTCAAACACTGCAAATCGGGTGGCGTTGGTGTAGTAGTCTTGGTCGGGCAACGTGAGACCACCTACAGTAGATACGGTCGTAAGTTGACGGAATCCGCATGCGGTGACCTTGCGAGACGTGGAGCGTGTTGATGGTCGAGTTCTTCTCGTCGGCGTAGATACCTGCGTCCACAAGAAACGAGAGCGCACTGCGTGACGAGAGCTCGCCCATGGCACGCACGAGATCTGCATTCGTGGTCGCCGCGCGAAGCGTGGCAATGCCAGCGGCCAGCGGCGCCGCCCCGACCGCATCCAGTGTCGCCGTGTCCATGCACGACGTGAAGAGCTCCGAGAGAAGAGGCCACTTGTCGTGGACGATCTCCATAAAGATGGCTTCGTTCGCCTCCTTGATGCTGTCAAACGAACGCGAGTAGCGCGACCGGTCCGACGGCAGCGTCGTGTTGGCGATCCACGCGCCGCACGCATATTGGTAAAAGTCATCGCATGGGGCGACGGACGTATCCATGAGCGCTGCGACGCTCGGCGGCAGCGCCTGTATCGCCATCGTCGCCTCCTCCTCCGAGAACGAGACGAGGGCCATGAGCACGAGGACGCCAGCGACGAGCACGACAATCGCGAGCAGGGCGGGTGATGACACGACGCAGTGCATGGCCCGCTTCCGAGGCGAGGACGAGGACTGCACCGCCATGGTCTCGAAGCCATTCTTCTCGTCATCGTTGAGGCCATCGTCGTTGCTTCGGAGCTTTTGGTGGCGCGGCAATGGCACGCTGCCGGTCGGCTTGGGCATCGCTGTCCGTTCGCCGAAGATTTTCCCAACCTTCGAACTTCGCCTGTTTCGTAGCCAATGCGATTGCGGCAAACTCAGATGGCCGATCAGCCTGACTAGCGGGTTGAACCATAAACAGGCCGCGCGATCTTCCGTGCCCGTGACTCACGACGACGGAGAGAGCCATTGTGTGTAGCAAGCGGCCCTTTGCGGCATGGCTATTCGGGGACGTCGACAGGCTTGAGGCGTAGACACGACCACGCTGCAAATCGAGCGTGTTCGTTGACATCGCAGGTTCAAAGATCCGAGGCCAATTCTTTATCAAACGCAACGTGAATTCATGGATAAGACGCGCAGCTTCTCCGTGGCCGCGAACGAATGCGCGCGGTATGCAGCGCCGTCGTAATGTACTGAGAGGGGCCTCGGCACAGCGGCGGTTTGGTCAGATTGGCGTCTCAAGCCGGGGCTTGACGTCGCGCAATCACAACCATCTTGTTGCACAAAAGGCAAGGTGCAAACGGTCTTAGTACAAGGAGATTGGCGCGACCTCGTCGCACATTTGCTACCGGGAGTAGCAAGCGTACCGTACTGTTGTGGTCTCGCGACCGGCAAAGCAGAAGAGGACGCTATCCAATACTTCGTTCGAGCTACTCGAATGTAAAGGTCGAGTGTACAAAGCAAGCAGAGACAAGATATCGACGGCGTGTGCTCCAAATTGTCTCGCGCCGTCGAAAACAAGGTCGCAGACGCGGTCCAACTTGCGTTTATCACGCGAAAAGGTCCAGTTTATATCAATTGAACCATCGAAATCCAAGCGGCCCAGCTGACGTCGAATCACGAGCAGCATCGTGTAGCTTGCGACGAGTGTCGATACGTACGAGGGCCATCACGTCCTCTCGGTGTCGTCGTCTCGTGCACATACGCGGTGCAGGGTCAAAGACAAGATAACCATGTGCCGCGTTTAATCGTCCGTGGTCCGGGACCCAGGTTTCTCACGTTCTTCGGTCGCGTCCGCCCACTCTGCTCAAGTCGTTTCCACGCGTCAAGCGCAAAGAAGAGCTGCCAAACGTATATACAAGCGCGTTGCAGGGGAGAGAAATATGCAACCTCCATACTATCCGCCACGCAGGGTCTTGGACGAGCCTCTTCGATGTATGCATCGACGCGTCCAACAACCGCGTTGGAGCACGACGTCGTCGTTGCTGTAGAGATGGGAGCGGTTCTTCAATGCGATGCCGTCGAGCGTATGTGGTATTGTGCACCATCTGATCGATGGTCGAGGGTGGGACTCGATCCCAGTCACCCAGCGACTGTAACCCAGCGTTTCTCTAGCCCATTGCGTTCAACGTCGGCTCATTTCTCTGTGTTAGCGCGAAAGATTCTCTTTTGCCCCACTTTGCAATTTCAGTCCAACCTACCACATTCTTAGTATGGGCATCCACACCAAGCTCCCTTGCGACCCGGGCAACATGTCGCCGCGCAAGCACCGCAAGACGACCAACGAAGGCAAGGGCACGTGGACCCTCGAAGAACACGAGCGCTTCCTCCAGGCGTCCAAGCTCTACCCGTTTGGCCCGTGGAAGGTCATTGCCTCCATGGTGCGCACGCGCAATGTGCGCCAGACCCAAACGCACGCGCAAAAGTTCCGCGAAAAGATTGCGCGCCGCGACCGCGGGCTTCGCCGCCGCAAGAAGCAGGTCGGGCCCCAAGACACGCACGTCCGCCGCCCGTCCATTGACGACAAGGACGGCAGCGAGAGCTCGTCGACGACTGAGAGCCACCACCGTATGCACCACCACCACATGCACCACATGCACCACCACGACACGATCACGCTTCCGGTCGACAAGCACCACCAGCCGACCAACATGACGCCGACGGGCGCCGACTCGAAAGTCAAGGTGCTCGACTTGAAGCCGTCGGCGTTCTGCCACCTCAAGAGCCTCAACGTCGGCGCGGTCGACCTGTCGAGCAACTGCAGCGATGACGGCGACGCGTCGCCCAAAGAACGCACCAAGAAGCCAGCGCCCAAGAAGAAGTCGGAGCCCAAGAAGACGATTGCGTCGACCCTCGCGACGCCCAAGAACGTAATACTCGACAAGTGCGTCGTCGTCGACGCGGTCCCAAGCCTCGAAGACTGCCTCGATTTTCTCATCGCGTCGCTCGAGCACGACGAGAGCATCACGTCGGACGCCGCCAACATCCTCGTCGTCTAGTACCTGCATTTTGTACCCTTCTCCGCCTAGACGTGTCTTGCTTGTTCCTGCACGTATACTATTTACTAACATTTTGCTTCTTCGCGATGCCTTGTCTATTGCCCGTCAAAAACACGCAGTGCGCGCGCCCTTTCTACCCGCGCGGATCAGCAGCGCGCTCGAAGAGACGTGGATCGTCGTGTCATGTCCCACGTGGCGCGCTGCGTGGCGACCGTTTTATCGCGGTTTGCTAGATCGCCATGGACACTTGTGATTGGCCGCCCATCACGGGTGCGCACCACGTGGCAGCGCCACAATTGAAAGACGCCACTTGAAGCAGTTGCAGTGAAGACGGGGGCTGGTCGGTCCCATCGCGCTCGGACGCAACTGCGATTGGTAGGAAGCGATTTCGGGCTTTTTGTATGTATGTACTAGGAGCAAGTGATAGCAATCGCGCATCGTACAGGTTGAGGTGGCGTTGACGTTCCGGCACATATCGCATTCGCTCGCGGGACATGTGAAAAAAAGATACTGCGCGGTGATGCGAGCCGTGTTAGAACGCGGAACCAGCTGGCGACGGGCGTAGACTAGACCCGGGCGCGTGACACGGCCGCGTGGCACCCGCTTTTCGTGCAAAGTTGCCGTCGGTTTGCAGCAAGCGTGGGACGTAGGCGTCGGTTCTTTGTCGCTACAGGCGGCTTGAAGCAGCCTCCGCACTGTCCGACCACGGCAGCCTCCGTACACCAGTACGGCGCACTGTCCGACCACCTCATCCAAGATGTCGACAAGATGGCTTGGTTGACAGAGAGATTCTTTTTGGTTGCTGTTGGAGCGATGGAGTAGTATACTGTACTATGACGCATCGACAGCTCTTCCACGAGCCTGAGTTGGCTACTGCACGGCACAGACACCGGATCGTTGCGCCGAGAGCACGCTGCCGATGGACTTTGCGCGGAGCGTGCGGCCGACGATGCTCGTCTGCTTGATGATCGTACCCCGCCACGACGCTGCGTGATCCAAGCAAGCTCGATCCCGATCCTCCTCGCTGGTTCCTTTTGCACCAGGCGTCTAGAGCGACATGCACAAGTGGCGTCAGGATCCAGGTCAACTTACCAGCGGTGCCATATTGCTGTTTGCCGTGACGGTATCTTCCATCGTCTTCTCTTCGTGCAGTATAGAGGAGACGTCGGCGGGGGATGGGACGTCGGACTTTGTTTGCGCGAGTCGCAGCTGGGTTTGGAGCCCATCCACCTTGCGTTCGAGGGCGTGGATCGTGGCACTGAGCGACTTGGTCTCCAAGTCAAACCAGTAGGCCTGATACCGTAGCGCGTGAAGGTGAGAGGACGCACCCAAGAGAAGAGGACACTACGACCAACGCCGCAGATATACTCTTCAGTGAGCCTACCTTATCTGGTGCGTCGCGGAGGTGGATGTGGTCGCCGCGGTAGCCGTACACCTGCACGACTGCTACCGACTCAGCATTACGGTAGTCGTAATTGTACCTGGAAGGTCACGGCGCCATGGAGAAGGTAGTGCACAAGCTTGTCTGTCACAAGCACACGGTGTACAAACGTCTCTTGGATCACCGGGTGGCTCGACTTGGTCGGGCTTGGCTCGGTCGCTCGAGGTCGTTCGTCGTCGAAGAAGGCATACTCGACAAAGACGTTGCTGTTGAGCGACGACGGCAGCCCCGCGCGCCTCGGACGGTCACATGAAACTCGACGTGCGTCTGCATCCCGACCGCCGTCGCGAGCTCATGGTCCTTGTCAATGTCCATGTCGGCAAAGTGCGTATAGCGCACGACCTGCAAGCCATGAGGACACGCAAGCAATGCCACATTGCATCGTAAATACCTCGCGCCGCGCCACAGCGTCATAGAACTTTTCTTCAATGTATGGCTGGACGCTCACAACGAGGTGGCCCGTGATGCTGCCGGTCCGGTTGACGATCGGGACGGCTTCGTCCACGTCGAGGTAGTAGGCAAGGCGACCCAAGTACACGGGCGCGACACCAATGAGCTCTTCGACGCCGTCGTCAACGACAAACGGATTCTGGGCTTTGGACGCCTCTTGCGAGACGAGCTGTGCGTGGTACGACCGAAGGAGCGCGAGTCGGAGGAAGAAGTCTTGCGGCCGCATGATCATGCGTTGCCGGGGACGCGCGCGGTGCTGGAAGACGATCCAGAGGTCGGTTTGGAGCTACGTACTGCATTTGGCAAGAGACTATTGACACTCGACGCACGTACTTCAGCCCGATCGATGGGCGCGTCGTCGTCGTTATTGACCATGTGCTGGATGATGGGCACGGCGCGGACGAGAAGGGACTCGTTCACTTCCTTGCTCATGACGTTGGCTTCGTCCACGTAGTCGAGGAGCGACATCGCATACCCCATTGCAATGCTACGTGCGTGAGGATCCCTGCCGACGCGGAAGACGAGCAAACTACCGAGTTTCCAAAATGTTCATCTCGTCAATCGCGCTGAGCGAGAGCCGACGAATCGTCGCCAGGCGCATCTCGGTGGTCATGACACTCGCGTGTAGCGCGGCACCTTTCTAGTCATCTTGCATTGGCACCCAAACATGGTGGCATGCATGTATGTACTTGAAGGTAGATGTCGTGGATGTCCATGGCCTCCGCGTCAGGAATGTGGCCGGAACTCATGCCGTCGCGGTGCATGGCTCGAATGGTCACGATGCGATCGACGATCCGAGTTAGCGCGTCGTGGCAGTGGCGCTCGGCGCAGCCAGGCCCTACGTCCTGCGTCGTTGCATACGCCCGCACGACGCTCTCGCGCTGGTAAAAGTTGCGCAAGTCCAGCGGCTCGAGTGCGTGGACGCGCGGAATAAAGACGCGAAAGACGTTGCGGCGACCGAGCGTGAGCGCATCGCCGTGCTGTAGCGTCGTGCGCTCCGAGACGTCGGCGCCGTTGATGAGGCAGATGCCTTCGTCAGGCACGAGCTCGACGTTGGGCGGCGTTGACATCTGAAATCGGCAGTGGCGCACCATGGCGCCACCCCCAAAGAGGACGATGCCAGGGTATTTGTCCAGCGGCGTCTGGAAGGACGCGAGGCGACCTGCGACGACGTCGTTGGCCGCGACGTTGAAACGAAACCACGAGCTAAAAAGACGCTCTTCGTGGAGTCGCACGAGGTAGACGTTCAAGCTGTCGTGCTCGAGGAGCGACGCGCCGAGACTGATACCGAGACCGTCGACGCCGCACTGAAACTTGAGCGCGTCCTGGTGGTACTCGATCGCGTCCTTCTACCCTCAAGATGCTTACATATGAGAAACGGTGGATAGATGCAATCGTACTTGAAAGTCGGCGCGAAGCGACTCAATGTGCCGCGTCGCTTGGCGCTTGGCCTGGAGCTCTTGCTCGAGAGCTCCGCTCGCGGCAGGCCCGGCGTCGTTGAGCTGCAATTTGGCTTTCAACCACGTGATGCGGTCGCGCAGCGCCACGAGGTCTTCGTCCATGTCACACAAGAGACTGCAAATCGTCGATGGCGTCGATGGTATGCGCGACGGGATGGCTTGCAGCAGCGTTGCGTGCCGCAGCGTCAAGAGATTTTCCTGTGCTCGCGAGCATCAGTTTTCATGTATCAAGGTATCAAGAGACGCACCTCGTTTTGGAGCGCCGACTGCACGACGTTGGCGATGACAACCGCGTCAGCCATGCCGCCAAGCATGTGCTGTAGCAGCGTGGACTAGAGCTTATTTAATTCGACTGGCGTCGACAGAAGACCCATACCGTCGCCGTCAACCCGAATGAGATCGTCGCTGGATCGTCGCCGTCGGCGAGCTGTTTCCAGCACGCGTGCACGTGTCGATACCCCTAAACACATTCAACAGACGACCTTGTAGACGGTTTACCTGTTCCATGATATGACCCATGTCCGTCTCGGTTTGGGTGACATGGCACGGCGCCGACGCCGGCATGTCGACAAAGTCCAGACGTGTCCAGAGGTCGTGCGGTTGGTGCTCGATATAGAGCGAGAGGATGCGGCACGACAGGCCGTGGACGCGATTCTCGACGATGCAGTCGATGGCGAGTGCGCGCAGGGCCTGCGCCAGCGTCTAAACCACATATCGTGTCTGCACTTTCGATGCGATTTTGTACTTTCTCAAACGCGCCATAGGACGACAGTTGGAGGCGCGCGAGGTCGCTTGCATAGGCGCCGATGGACCGGTGGTAGAGCGGTCGGCACTTGGTCGGCTTGCCTTTGAGCATGTCCATGACCTTGTCCGCGTACACGTCGATGAAGCTCATGCGCACAGCGACGTCGAGGGCGAAGAGACCTCGCGCCACGTGATGGACGAGCCCCACATCCGCATCAAACAAGGCTGTGGTTTTACCAGATTCACGCTAGATCAGATGTGAGAGGCATTGGACGAGATCGGTAGACGCACTTGGCCAAGAGAGAGGACGGCGGCGTGGCGGCCATGACGGAGCGTGTCGATCACGCGCTCGGTCACAACGTCCGGCAGCTCGGCGGCGGCGACGACGTCGCCAAACCGGAATTCGCGCTCCTCAGCATGGTGGATCCACGTTACGGCGTTGCGAACGACACCAAGGCCTTTCTCGGCTTCGTCCGTCGGCTCCTGCACGCGTACGACGACGAACGGCTGTCTCCTCTCGTCCATCGCAAGCCGTTACGCAGGAATCGAATCCTTCCACCGCCATGGTCCGACACTGAAAAAGACCAAGGTAGAGTTCCATGTTATGCTTCCTACTTGGTCGTGTGGGCGTGCGCGCGAAGCTTCTCCAGCGACCGGTACCGATGCGAGATGGTGTTCTTGGTCGCCTTGTCCATTTCGCCAAACGTTTGGTCAAAGCCATCGGGCTGGAAGACCGCATCCCAGCCAAAGTCGGTGCTGCCGCGTGCCGGAACGATCGTGCCATGGGTCTGGCCCACAAACACGATCGGCTCCGTCGCCTCGCCGGCGCTAAAGTCGTTGAACGCAAAGATGCATTGCGCGTACGCCGACTTGTCCGGGTATGCGGCGAGGAGGTTGTTGAGGCCTTCATGGCCCGTCTTCTCGAGGAACCACTTGATGTACACACCCGGGAGGCCGCCAAGCGCGTTGAAGCAGAGCGACGTGTCCTCGACGAGCACGGGGCCTTGGATCTTGGCGGCGGCGAGACGGCACTTTTCGCGCGAGACGTCAGCGGGCTCGCCCTGGAGCTCGGGCAGGTCCAGCGACACGTTTCGCACCTCGAACGGAAAGTCCGAGCCGAGGATCGCAACGACCTCCTCGAGCTTCTTCTTGTTGCCAGTCACGAAGGTCACCACGCGCTTCGCCATCGCAACCAAAAGATGAGGTTGCACTTGCTCGACCACTCGATATTTAGTGTAATACCAATATAGTCTTGACCATTTTTTGCCCAAGCACGCAATATACGTACTTTGCCAAGGATGGGCGATGCGCCGTGGGCCTTAATACAACCTAAAGTGCTAGTTGATTGCCGAGGCGCGTGGTGTATGCTCAGTACGGTGCCCTTGGTATCCTAGCGTGTGGACATCATGGCGATGTAATACACAGTATTTAGATATACGCTCTATTGACGTATGTATATAGTGTAATATATGGATTTTGGGCGATGGTGATTATCCGTATATTCCTGTTATCCGTATGCAGCGATCTTTTGGCGGCAATCACAAGTCGATTAGCCGCGAAGCCTAAGGGAGTGCCAAGACGACGATGGTACTGCATGCAACGAAGAGTCCGGGCGAGGAAGAGCTGTGCATGATGGACCCCTCATGTAGGACTACTACCTCGAGGAAGACGACATGACGAAGCAGCCGCCCCTGCCACCAATCGACAAGACCATTGACCTCTCGTTCCTTCTCGATGAGCCCTGTGACTACCGCGGTTGTGCCATGTGGCACCTAGAGCCGGAAGAGACAAGTGCGATGACATGCGCCTCGCCTGTGCATGAAGACGACCAGGCAACGACGATACGAAGGGTATACCACGCACTCGCGCTCTCGGACTTTCCCATCGACACCCCTCCGTACAACCCTTCGCGATTCCATCATGGCCTGTCCACGATCTTCATGTCGTAGAACTGTCGATGCTGCGGTTGCAGCCCTATGGGGCAATTCCACGGCCGCGAAAGAGCCGCAATCCGTACCATTCTCATCGAAAAGACCATCGACCGTGATTTACGTCATCCTGCGCTGGGTTTCTTTCCCAGAAGCCGAAGAAGAGGCTCGCACACATGACGTGGTGGCCGGTACGATGCGATTCGGATCGCTAACCAACCTTCAAGCACATATGTAGGGCGACTGGAAATGCTTGAAATGTGGTACGATGTGCTCGATCGCAGCACCGTTTCCTCACGCACTCCATAGGCAATCACGTACGCTCTGCAAATCATCGATGTCGGATCTCAAAACCCATTGGTGCTTGGTTACCACTAGAACTTCTCGTATCGGTGCGTCGTGATCACACGTGACGTTCAAGCTTGATCTTGTGCGTGTTGTAGAGAAATGTGCAAGCGCTGCAAGGGCTACAAGGACCCCTCCATGGACCCCGAGGCGGCCCCACTACCCTTTGCGTGGTTGGATCTACCATTCGATTACATGTGCAGCTACATGCTCGATTTAACAATTGACGAATGGAACGAGTAGCGACGGCCACATCCTTGGGGATCTCAGCAACCCAATGTCCACACCATGCTTCTTGCCCCTCCGTCCACCTCACGATCGACATGACACGGTCTCCACGGGGCCCAAGCTTAAGAAAGATCCCAACGATCCCGCGACACAATACGGCGACTTTCTATACTCGGGCACTGTACCGCGGGAAAGGTTCGTTGTGCTACCAGCCATGCAACGTGTTTCCAATCGGCTTTATGTAGCAAGCATGCGTTTGCTCGAGCGCCCAACACATGCGCCGCGTAGCTGGATGGTCGATCAGCCCTCTGCACAAATGTCGAAGTTTCATTGTCATGCTTTCTGTACATGGACGCCCGATGCGGCGACTACGCTGCGTCTTCCTCAGTTTTGGCTGCGGGAAGATTTTGCTTGATGAGGGCCTCGAGTGCGGGCACGTTGATACCGAGCACTTCGCCAACGGACTTTTTGTCCTACGCGACAGGATGATGCCAAAGTTGACTCGTATGCACAGGAACGAACGCGCCACAGAACAAAGCGCGGCTTGCACGTTGGGTTTTCGGCAACGCCCTCAATCTTTGCCGTGGTGCAACATACCTACAATCGTGTCATCAATATACTGGTTGTGTAGGATGCAGATCTACTGCTGCGAATTGAAGCCGAGTTTCTGCAGACGCCGTGTCACCGATAATGCGACGGTACGTTGGCTCGAGCACTTTGCACGGGCCACACCACTCTTGATACATATCGATGACTACGACCAAGCATGTTTAACCATGTTGTTGATAAGGCGACGCTACCGATGAGCTTCTCCGTAGCGTTCTCGCGCAAGTGGTTCCATTGATCCAAGTCGCGGATGTTCACTGCGATCGACCGGTCCTTGTCGGCCATCGCACCCCTTCAAGATCTCACTGCCTTGTTTACGAGTGTGATATCCGTGTGTATATTAAGAACGCACACGTTCTCGTTTCACAAATTGGTATAGAATGAACTTCAACATGTATTGAATCCGCACGTCACCGCAGCATTTTAATCAGTCAAATGAGACGCCAGACGCAGCTTCGCGTGATGGTACTTCGTGTCGTTATGGTCAATGACGACAAGCCGCCAGATCTTGATGTCAAATAGGTACAAGCGACCTCGGAAACGCAGCGAGGAGGCCCGTGAGGACGCCGAAAGATCGGTCGAGGTAGTAGACACCTTGGTATGTGTGCCGGTCGTGAACGTACAAGTGTTTGGCGCCTCTCGAGAAGAAGAGTGAGTCGGTCAAGGGCTCCTTGAGCTTGCGCAGCGACCAGCGCGTGCTGAGAAAGCACGCGGCGTTGCAGATAAGTACGATGACCACAGGTGTTAGATACCGCGCGTTACTGCCAATCGCGATCGTCGCTGACGTGCAGCGCACTTGAAATATGACCTGGTAGCTCGCGCAATCGAGGGACTGGTGCGCTGTATGGCCAACAGGCCAAAGGCCCGAGACAACAGCAATAAATCCGAGCACGAGAAGGCTATTGAATGTCGCATAGTACGCCGTGTACTCAGCTGTGATGGACATCGTTGACGACAGCGACTGGCCATGTAACCTCGATCACAGCTTGCAGGGTTGCAAACCAAGTGTGTTCAACAGACCGAAGTGCGCTCGCAAAGCCCGAGTAGATAAGAGCAAGGGACCTCGTCGAGAGAAGACCTAGCGCTGATATGCTCTGAAGTAGCTAGAAGAAAGTACTAGTGTTATCGATGTAAGTTCGTCGCAGCTTTGTCTCGTGGTGCGCTCATGAGTCGGCCAAACACTTCGTCGTATGCAGCGACAGTCGCCGACCACGTAAACCGCTTCTCGACCGTCGCACGTGCACCAGCTCCCAGCCGGTGCCGCAAACCGCTGTCTCTGGCGACGACTTCGATCCCCGCAGCGAGCGCGTCCGCATGAATCTCGTCAACGACCCACGCATTCTCGTTGTGTCGAACGTACTCGGTCGTGCCGGCCACACCAAAGCACACGAGCGGTATACCGACGGCCATGACTTCAATGTTGGCGATCCCAAACGTCTCTTGGAGGCCCGGGTGGACAGCCACGTCCCAGGACTGGAGCTCGTGGACGAGTGCGGTCTCGTTGTAGATGCCTCCGATTAGCTCAACAGGGTACTGCTGATAGTACGCAGCATGGGAGCCTTCACCGATCCACCGAAAGACGAGACAGAGGTCGCGCTTGGCTGCCAAAAGCTCAGCGGCGCGCGCAAGGAGACCGAGCGACTTTTCTGGCGCGAGGCGACCAAGGAAGCCGACAATGAGGCAGCGGTTGGTTTTCGGCGTGGCAGCGGGCGTAAAGACGTGTGCGTCGATGCCGGGTGGGATGACATGGCGGTACCTCGCTGTGATTGTGCTCGTGACGCTTTCATGTTCCAGCGTGTACGTCGATGGTCCAATGAGTGCGTCGACGGTATTCGCAACGGGAAAGACGCTCGAGAGATCAAAGAGAACGCCGCGAGCGCCCACGTGCTTGGCGACGAGAGCGAGGACGCGGTCGCCGTGGTCGCGCGAGTTGGCGAGTACCAATATGCCGCCTTCACACGGCGCAAACGCGCGGAGGAACGTCGCCCAGAGTCGCGGAACGTGCGCGGGGACGTCGGACGTACCGTGTTCGACGTAGTCGGCGATGGCTTCCATCGTCGTGTTGGTCGTCAGCTGGTACAACGCGGCTTCTTCCACTGAGACTTGCATAGGTGCGTACGTGATCTGCACGTCACTGGTTGCAAACGGATCAAAGCGCGTTGACGGAGCTTCGAGACGAATCATCTATAGTACATGTTAAGCAACGCTGTATACACAAAAGAGCGTTGTACGTGGAAGGCGTAGGTCACGGAGGGATGGCGCGAGAGGATGCGGATCATGTGCAACCACAGCTGCCGCTGGCCGTCAAACTGGCCGTTCGTGCCGACAAAGCACAGCGTGCGACGACGCGGACGGCGGGCGGCGACGGCTGGCAGCGCCGTGAGCCACACTCGTGGCTTGAGACTGCGACTGCGCTGGGCATCGGCTTCGGCTTTGGAGAGAACGCGCTCGACGCGCAGCATCGATGGCGGTCCCATCGGCGTGTGCTGCTTGTCGTGGACCTGCGCCACAACGACGTGCGTTCCTGGCTCGATCCCTTGCAGCTCAATGGTATCGGGATGGACCTGTAAGAGGCCATTGAGTTTGGTGCTCGAGAGCGCAATGTAGCCGTCGTCGCTCGGTGGCACCTCGAAGCGCACGCGGAGCGTCGACGACGGCTCCATGTGGCCAGCCGGCGGCCAGAGAAATCGCACCACCGCCGTTGCGTTCTCGCTCTGCGCCACGACAAGCGCCACGTAGAGACCGACCTACGCAACGGCAGCGTCGCTTCCAGGGCTGTTGCGACCGGGGTGTAGTACCAGCAAGTGCTGCAGCATGGTCGGTGGATCTTGTTTTCAAATAGTGTGCGAGTCACGTAAATAGTATGCATCGGAGGCAACCTTTGGGCGAACCTTTGACTCCCGTTGCAATTTTTTTTATCTATCACAGCGTTTGATTGGCTAAAAACCAAGAACAATACCAGAAATCACAAAAGGCGATTGGGCATTGTAAATAGTGTTAAGTGAAGCTGCGATACGAAGGCCGATATCTGCGGGCGATACAAGGAGCGGAGCTCCGGCAATCGGGGCTGTGTAGGAAGCATGCCAGGTGACACCAACGTCACACAATGCAGGACATGTATTCAATTTACGCCGAAATAGTTCCGGGCCTGCTCGAGCGCTTGGATCTGCTGCGCGCGACAGCAAGGCCCACCGTTCTTCGCAGGACTCGAGGTCCGACTGCCCACCCTTCCTGGTGATGATGACGTGGGCGCACGACGCATCACACGTGCGGCGATGATTCTTGTGCAGGGCGCGTAGGAGTCTTGCGTAAACACCGACCTCGCATGCTTCGGCAAGCTTGGAAGGGTCCCGCGGGTGATGGTCGGTTGGCTTCTTGCAGCTCGGGCATCGCCGCTGTCGGCGCGCGCGCTTCGTCCGCTCCTCTGCTGGAGGCTTTGGTGATGGCGCGGCAACTTCAACTTCGCGCGTCGTTGCACGGTTGACAGCGATGGGCTTAACGAGCTGGATGGGAGCCACATCACAAAGCCCTGTAGGCGAAGAAAGTGGGAAGGAAGCAGCGAGAACGCTGGGAAAGCAGCGTGCCTGTCTATGGCGTTCACTCGAAGACAACAGGCGTCCGTGCTCCGGTCTGGGCTTCCAGGAAGTGCTCCTTGGAAGAATTAGACTTGATGTTTGTATTGAAGGTGCCATTCTTGAGCCAAAAAAACGATTTATGGTCGAAAGGCGACGACAAGGACGTCGACGCCAGCGCGAACTCGAGCGAAGACGACCACGACTTGAGCTCGGACAACGTCCTCGAAAACAAGGACCCCGACGAGGACAAGGACGCCAGCAAGCGCATAAACGTTGCAGCCTGCAACGTTTATGGTTCAAAAGCCTGACATTGCAGCACGTCCGGCAAGATCGTCGCACTCTCGCTATGCGGCCAACATGACGCTGCGCGATGCGACCGAGACAGCCAACTTCGTCTCAAGCGTCTCGAGTCTTTTGACCAAGTAGGACTTGGACGGCATCGACTTGGATTTGGAAAACGTGCAAAGCGTCGGCTGCGACACGATCCAGCCCAAGACGATGTACCCGTCGTACTGTACCGTGGTGTGATGGCGTGGAGCATCAACTGGGACAGCCACGACGGCTACGTCTTTTCCAAACCAGTGCGCCAAGCTCTTGACGGTTTGGACGCGGCTTCAGTGGCGCCAACGAATGCGACGATTGTCCTCTCGTTTCCAGCATCATCATCAACCGCCGTACTGACTGCAGCAGCACTTATCACGCCACCACCAAGCGGCCGTTCAGTGTCTGGCTGCGGTGCGTGCACCCACTGCCATTACGCGCGATCCAAATCGTGCTTTGCAGGGTGGACGCAGGCGCAGTTGTACACGTGGTGCGCAGAGGCAACAAAGAGCCGCTTACCACCTAGCAGCTCGGTGGCAATTGCTACTACCCACCGACGCATGCATGCTACAGCGGCTGGATTGCCGCTTCGTGCCTCACCAATTGCGGCAATGCACCTGCTGCCTACCTGGCTCGCGAGTAAAACCCATGAGTAAAACCTTTAAAATTGCGTGTCAAAAGATCGGCGTTTTGGGCAACCCGAAACCATGTCATTTATCCGGACGAGGTGTTTTGTCGCCAGTTCCCGCAGCAGCATGAGCGCGACGAGCGTAGGCGCCGACGTCGTCCATGGGCATGGCCTCATCCTCGCCTCGTCCTAGTTTGTCAATGGCGTCGCGACGGCCATGGAGACGATCAAGAAGCACCCGGACGACTGGCAGAAGCGCCAGGCCGCGCTCCAGGACATCCAAGACCTCTTCGTGACGATTGGGACCGCCACGATGACCGTGCCGCCGGAAGCGTGGCGGCTCCTCAAGCCGCTCAAAGACGTCATCACAGATCTGCGCTCACAAATGGTCAAAGCCGTCTGCACGATCCTCGCCATCATCGCTCGCGTACGTTGCTTGGAGGCAGCACCCGCGCGTACGATCCTCCGATAGGTGTCGCGCGACTCGATGGCGCCGCTGGCCCGCGAGCTTCTGCCCGTGCTTCTGGACGTGCGAGGTGGCGGCAACAAGGTCTGCGGCACGTACTGCGGCGAGTGCGCCGACTTCCTCGTCGCCAACGTCGTGACCAAGGGCCCGACGTTGCGCTATTTTGTGGAAATGGTGACCGAGAGCCGCAACAAGAACATTCGCGAAGCCTGCATCAGCCTCCTCGCGCTCGTGCTCGTGCACTGGAGCGCCGTCCTGGATAAGAACGATGTGACGCAGATCGAGGTCGGGCTCAAGGCCGGCCTCCAAGACGCGTCGTCGTCCGTGCGCGCGCACGCGCTCGTCTTGTACCAGCGCTTTACGCAAAAGTTCTCCAAGCGTGCCATCGTCCTCTTCAATGCGCTCGACCCCAAGATCCAGCGGCGCCTCGAGTCGTTGCCGCTCGTCGACGCGATGCCGTCCATGGCCTACTCGGCCGTACGTCGATTTCCTCCTCGTCCCACGCGCATTCTCATCGCGGATAGAGCAACTCGATCGATGAAAACACAGAGTTTGAAGACAAGGTCGAGAGCATTGGCCATGACATGAGTGACGAGCGCGACGTCGACGTCGGCGACCGCGTCTGCATCTCGGAGAAGGAGCTCTTTGGCACGGTGCGCTTCATTGGTACGATCCAGTGCACAAATCCGCTTGGATCGACATTGAGTGTAGGGGACGTGATTGGGTTTCAAGGCCTCTGGCTCGGCGTCGAGCTCGATACACCGTCGGGCAAGAACGACGGGAGCATCAAGGGCGAGTACTATTTCCGCTGCGAAGACAAGTACGGCGTGTTCGTACGCCCGACGCAGGTACCTCCACGAATGTTTGGACAGATTGTCTTCGTTCGATATGAAAACAACGCGGCTAGGTCTTCTTGACCAAGCGCCACATGTCGTTTGACGGCGGCGACGTCGCGCGCAGCAGCTTTGGAGACGCGTCCGAGCACACGCTGGGCGAAACGACCGAGCCGGACGCGGAAGCCGCGGCCATGATGGGCGTCCCCGACACAGAGAACGACCCGCCGCTCAAGAAGCTCCTTGACTCGGTCCTCGATGCGCAGCGCGGGTTCCTCGACTTTATGTTTCTCAACCTCAACGTCGAGATGGACCACCTCGACGTGTTCCAAAAGTCGTCGGGGCTCGCAAGCTCGGCCGACGCGATCGCGTACTGCGACCAAGTGCGCAACATTTGCCAAGAAAAGCTCGACGCAGTCAACGCCTTTATGGAGAAGATCGTCGAAGCGCAGCAAAAGGCCATGGAGACATAAGAGTGCATCTTATCCCAGCGCTTAGAAGAGGCGGTACCAGCGGTTCTTGGTCGTAAAGAGCACGTGCTCGAAGAAGCAGAGGAACGCAAACGCGAGGAGGAGCATCGTCGCCGCGTGGAACCGGTTGTCGGGTCCAAGGATAAACGGCATGGCCTCCGAGACCGCGACGAGCACGAGCGAGACAGCGAGGGGCATACCGCCGAGCGTCCAGCCCTCGAGCGCAAACTGCCGCTGCGACGACGGGTGCATGAGCGAGAACCCTACAGAAGACCGTGCTGAGCATGCCATGGGAATCGGTAGATCGGACCGTTTGCGTTGAAGTAGAAGAGGGGGGAGCCGTGGATGATGGTGAAGAAGGTGCCTAGGACGCATGAGGGGATGCGATGGACAGTACATGCAATGACAGCGCACCCGAGAGAGAGAGGTACATGACGAACACGCAGAGGAGAAACCACGTCGACCGACGAGTTACGACCGGAAGGATCGACGCGCGGTTCGTATACAAGCGCGGGAGCAGCACAAAGGCGAGGTACGCCAAGGCGCCGTACAGGAACAGCGACGAAAGCGACGAGTCGGACGGCTTGACCACGACGGGCGGCGCCAGCATCTCCTGCACGACGCCCGACAGCTTCTCGGTCCACGTACTCGGCGTCAGCACGGACGGATCCACGAGCCTCGCGTTCTCGCGGCCAATCTGGAGGCCATAGCGCGCGTTGGGCTCGAACGTGGCGAGGATGTGGAGACCATCGTCCGGGATCGACGAGAGCTTGTGAGCATCCTTGAACGTGATCTCGAATGCATCATCGGACGCGACAAGGGGCACGGCGAAGAAGTACATGTCGACCTCGTCGCGGTGCTGGAGCGCCCGGACTGCGCGCACGAACGAGTCGCGGGCCTCATGCGAGGTCGAGAGGAAGACGAGCACGTGGCGCGTCCGCTTCGCACTTACGATGAGGTCCATGTACGGCTGGAGGTGGTCGTGGGTGAGCTCGATGCGTCCGGCGGGAAGGCCTTCCGGCACGGGCGCAGTCTGGACGACGACGTCAACGTCCTCCACGTAAAAGTAGTCTTCGAGGAAGTCGACTTCATGCAGCGACTCTTGGCCGAGGGCCATGCAGGTAACCGCGAGCGCAAGGAGCGCGACCATGAGCGGTCGAAGGAAGCCGCCCATGTGATGTGATGCGAAATGGCACCACGTGGCATATGCCACGTTTACCGAAAAAGACGTGGCCAGTTTTAAATTCGGCAGATGCCACATATTGGTACATCGAACGCAGGCGTCGAGAGCGCCCACACGAAGGATGCAGCGAGGTATTCCATCCGCGACCACGATCAAGTTCGTAGGTTCCTGTATTACGAATACCGCCAACGTCTATCGAGCGACGGTTCCAGGCTTGGAAACCCCGAGGCGATGCTGCTGCATGGCATAATCCCTGCTCGTTTCGCCAAGCTTTTCGTATCGACTACAAAAGCCTTGTGGAAACCCGCAATATGATGGAGCTTGCTGAATAGCATCATCA